GAGTAACTGGGTCGTTCGCTGCTTTCAGACGTCTTCTTGGATTCAGCTGGAATTCCTTTCTCCTCAAATCATTTCCTGTTGTAGCTTTCTCCAACACTCTGCTCTCCAGTTCCTTTCTCTCCTCTCGTTTGTATTTTTCTCAGTGACAGCCGCGCTCCCCCCTCTTCTTCTTCTTCTTTATTTTATTATTTTGAACTGTGTGTGTGTATGCGTTCTCTGCGCCTGCTGGCCACGCACACACAGCCTGAATATCCTCAGACGAGATCAGAGTAACGAGGCCGTAACTGTACGGCTGAAATTGGTCAAGGAGGAGKAGGAGGAAGAGGAAYAAAGCTGTACATTCACCTCGTCCGTTCAATCACTTTTGTTTCCTCATTTCGCGTTTCTTTTTTTGACACTTTATTTTTCCTCCGAGCTTTCATCTGCGGCGCTGACGGGGGGAATCAGCCGTGTCGATTCTCCTTCTCTGCTGCCTTTCTGTCTTTGTTGCGTTGCGCCGCCGCGGCTCAAGGCCCTCGCCTCGTCACGCGTGCCCGAACAGTCACGCCACACATCACGTGTGCGTCCCGGCCCGTCTCGCTCAGACAGCGAGGCGAGATATTCTGCGATGACAGCTGCAGAGATGGTGGGAGATGAAAACGGCTGCTGGTCTCGAGGTGGTTTGAATCTGCTTCTTGGGTTCTTGAAAGTATAAAACATAAAAAAGAGAGAAAGGGCTATTGCTATTTTAAAAGAGAGAATGAACGCTGAGCATGAGATTTTCTGCACAGATACAAAGATGAAAGACAAAAAATATATATATTTGGCRTGTTGGCTGGAAAATAGTTGATATTTTATTTGTTTTTATGGAACAGACTTGATGAAACTTCATTCATTCATCATCTGGCAGACATCCCCAGAGAGACAGTTGCTCATAATCTCAAAAACATGCAAATGTTTACGGCTCTACGACAGAAAACTGGAKGATGTCAGAAGAATAGTTTGCAGGTTGGCTGTTAAATAACAGAGTATTCTATTTTAAAACGTGTTTTTTTTTTATCCGCCTGTGTCACCAAGACTGGACTGAATCTTTCCGTAACGTCTGTCGAAGCCCATCAAAACACAGAAACGGGTAAATAAAAGAAATAAAGTCACAAAATAAATTTTCCAAAAACTCTGTGGCCAAATGGAGGCCACCCTCTCTGCGATGGTCGAAGCTCGTGAATCCCAGTCCATCTGGTAAAAATCTGAATTCTGTCGACAGCCACCTGTATAAAACCACTCTGTTGGTTTACCTGTTGTCTTTTTATTAGATATACTGTTTTTAAGAAGCAGTGATGTCAGCTTTGCTAACCGCTCACTCAATGACTTTTTAAAAACTAAACCGCTAAACAGATGAGAAAATTAGTGGGCACTAACTGCTAACTTTGGGGTGTCAAACTCATTTTCAGCAAGTACCACATGAGCATTAAAATCTTGTTTTTTTGAATAAAATTAAATAATAAATTAAAAAAAAAACGATTACCTTTTAAATTGAGTAAGACAGAGATTTTACACTGCAAATTTCAAACTCTTTCAAACACCTACTGCTGAGATGCCGTTATTTCATGGGTAAAATAATCAACATGCATTATGAGAGATGTAGTTTATGGACAAGGCTTTAAAGCGYCTGTAACGTCAAATTTTTGTAATAAACATGAATGTATTTTTGGAAAGATAACATTAATAACATATTTTTAAAAAAGATTTCATGTCGCAGAGATGAACAGTTGTTGAGATATTTGCATGTGAAGTAACAGGAAGTGATGTCAAAGGGGAATGTCTGAATGTGAGCAGAGCAGTGCTACAAAGGCAGACAGCACCGACTGTAGAGAAGAATCTGATGTTTCTTTAGATTATTTTAATCACTATCTTAGAGATGAGAAAGAGTCTTAGTTCAAATAATATTGTTGAAATAAACAAAAAAACAGGGAGTTCCCTTTATTAAAGAGTTCCCCCTTTGATGTCACTTCCTGTTTCACTTTAGCTGTGCCAAGTTCAAAAGAAAATAGGCCAATTTTGTGACATAATGGGTAAAATCATTTGCATTATGCAACGTTTCTTAAATAAATATTTTCTTTGACTTTTATTTTATGGAAATGCATGTCACAGGCACTTTAAKACATTATTACTTCTCTGAAGCTGTCATAAACACATAAAAGTGAGTTTAACTGATGCACTTTTGTYTGTTAGCGGGCCTAAAGTTAGAAGTAGATTTGATGGAAGCTAACTGTGCTAACAAAGTTAGCAAAACACTAATTTGCTAAGCAAAAAAAAAGTTAGCTCCACTGTTAGCTGTTAGCTGTGCCCAGATGCTAAAAAGTAAAAAAAAAAAAAAGGTGTGGTTGTGAGGTTTTAAAATAGTGGGTTTGATTATTGTTAAAGAGGTGCTCTTATGGTGGACGTCGCTCTCTGACCAGTTTTTAGATTAACCGGAACTCCCATCGAGGGGGTCCTAAGAACGGAGCTGCACTCTGTGGGACCGCCTAAAGAAAGAGTCTGGATCGACCTGAGCAGGGTCGAGTTAGTCCCACAGAAAGGGCTTAAGTGCTTTTCTTTTCCTGTTATTTTATTAGTTTTATCATCTTATGAGCCTAAATCAATCCGTCCTGAAGCATTATTGAATGGGAGAGGGGGAAGAGAAAGACTGAAGGGACTTTGGAAGCTGTGGATGAAGAGGATTACAGTAATCAGGAGCAACGTCGTCTCAAACCTGCGAGACAAAGCAGCGAGGCGTGCGTCACGTCGGGCAGCTCAGGTGTCTGCTTTGTTTGTGAATGAATGAACGTTGCGTAACRATTCGCCGAGGGCATGGTTCAGCCTCCAGAGAGTACGCCGTCGTAACCCCGCCATGTTCCAGACTCCCCCCTCCAGGGAAGAAGTTAAACACCTGTTTGACTCAAACCAGAGCAAAGGTTTGGCAAAGGAGCTAAATGTGCCAAGAAATCCCAGGTTTTATCCCAACAGTGAATTACAACATGTGTTCCAGCTGTGGTTACTCACAACTTCCCACTGATGACACGTTTCTTACGTTCAGCGTTCCTGGTTGTTGGATTATTTATTTTTATAGTTTTTTTTTTTTGTTTTAATCCCCTCGTTGCTTCCCAGCGTTATACAATTTATTGCCAAGAAGCATTGTGAAAACACAGAAATAATCTACCAAACACATATTTCATTAATATAGTGCTAATTTTATATGACTCCTCCAGAAACAAATATAAAGTACAAACTCATGGATGGACATGAGTGTGGACAGAGTGTGGCCAAACGGCGGATTATATCGGAGTGTTTTCTTCAACCGGCTAATTTATCGGCACCGATTTCCTTAATTTTGGGAGGTCAAACATCAGCCGATAAAGATCTGATTCACCCATTGTCTCCCCTAATGTCCAGATGAAACAAGTTTGTATTGTACTGTTCAATGATTTTTTAGTAAAATGAGACTGGAACAYTGAAAGGCGTTTTGTGACCTTCGATTTTGGGCAGAATCTGAATCGGCAGGCCAGACCCGCGATCGGCCAGAAAACTGCAATCGGTGCACCGCTAATGAAAATGCAGTAGGTACTGTATCAAAAATAAATTTCATGGCCTATCTAAACCCCTTGAAATTGAAATAACCTCCTAACGTTTAGACACTCCCACTTAAGCAYGTCTTCACAACAATGGTTCGTGCCATTTACAACCGTTCGTAGGAGCGTTGTATTTTGTTGTAAAAGAAGAAGCATATATATTATATAATATTGATTTTGGGAAATACTGTAGCAACTAAGGGTACAGTTGAACCTTAATCAAATGGTCCCATGTTGAACCTGGATAGTACATTTTGTAAAGAACCATAGTGAGTACAGAGGCTCTTCAAGACGTTTCAGCTTTGTAATATAGCTCCTAGTCATCCTCTCATACAWACACGTCACTGTTTGCGAAGAAACTATAAGTATAKATCATTATGAAGCTATGTTTTGCAATGAAATCATGAACATTCACCACTTTTAAGACAGTTTGCTAGTCTGGAGCTGTGTGGTATAATAATAAAACCTCACAAATTGTCCTCAAACAACTGATTTTGGACTCTTCACACGCCCTCCATATTTCAAATGCTAGGAAAATATGTTACTGATGCTCTAAGTTACAATTTTTTTTTCTGGGGAAGTACCCCCAAACCCCTCTGCAATGGACTGCCTTGAGTTTTTCACCCTATAAAATGGTCAGCCTCCCACCCCTGAAGCTTTTGAACCCCCTTCCTGTTCCCATCGGTCCTCCTCCACGGCCTCACAGAATGCTGATGAAGTCGTGGTCCACTGGAGCCACAGCTTCATAAAGCAGAAAATCTTTGGTCCTAAAGGACTGGAACGCCAACATTGTGTGTGCTTGTGTGTGTGTGTGTGTGTGTGTGTGTGTGTGTGTGTGTGTGTGTGTGTGTGT